GGGGGGAAGAAGAAGAAGAAGAAGAAGAAAGAAAATGGGGTGTTTGACGAGTGCCCTGCGAATTTCCAAAATAATAAAAAAAAAAAACAAGTGGGGGTGGGTGATGCTGTGAAGAAGAAGAAGAAGAAGAAGCTGCCTTTCTCTCACTGCTTCTGTAATGCTGTTACACACACACAGACTGACTGGAGAAGGCTGAAAGCTGCATCCTTTCTTGAATGGTGGAGCTCACTCTCTCTCTCTCTGCAAGTTTTTTGCTTGCACCTCATCCCCTCCATGCTGCACATGTCTCCCTCCCAAGCACAGCAGCTCACACTCACGGCTGCCCACACTAACGGCTGCCCACAATGCCACCGCGAGAGAGTGAGAACATGGTGGGCAGCCACAGTCTTAATAGCCTGGCCGACTGTGGGAACGTCGGTGCCGACAGGTCGGCAGCCTTCCAAGCCGCGCGGCGAATGGCCGCCCACCCCCCGACCGGCCCAGACCCCCAAAACGGGGCCTTTGCAGTTCGGGCCGCCGCCGCGGAAAAGTGCGGCACCCCAACTGCAGCCGACATGTCGGCGCCAACCGACCGACCGGTCGGTGGGTCGGCGGCCGACGGATCGGGGGGCGCCGACGATCGGCGCGTGCAACACTGTATGTACTATACTACTATGTAGTGTGTACTACATATTACAAAACACAACTTCAAAACCCCTTGTAAATACAACAAGACTGACATTAAAACCCCTGGTAAATGCAACAAAACCCATCTTAACCCCCTGCCCCCTGGTAAATACAACAAATTCCATCTTAACCCCCTCCCTCTGGTAAATACAACAAAACCCATCTTAACCCTCTTTCCCTGGTAAATACAACAACACCCCATCTTAACCCGCCTCTCGAAAATACAACAAAACCCACCTTAAACCCTCCCCCTGGTCAATACAACAAAAGTTACGAAACCCATCTTACCGCCCCCCCAGTAAATGCAACCACCCCCCCATCTTTAAAACTGTGTATATGTCCTATCATCCTACGTAGTACAACAGAAACCATCTTAAAACCTATAGATGAGCTACGTAGTAATGGACGCAGC